CCCCCTGGTTGAGGGCGCGGTACACCTTGCCGGACGCACCACGCCGGAGTTCTTCCCCCAGCAGGTATTTTGAGTGGAGGAGCCACGTTTTGCTTCGCCCTGGCTAAGGGGTTTTTGCTTCGCCGCTCCCTTTAGCTGTAGAAATCCTGGAGATCGAGTCCTCTTGGGAGTTTTGAACCGGAGGAATGGGGAGAAGGTTGTTCCCCCCTTGCATAACCCCCAGGAATGCGGGGTTTTCCGGGTTTCGGTTTTTGCTTTCCAAAACGACGGCGGAAGTGTTGTTTCGCCCCCCCCGGGTTTGGACGTTTGGCCGTGCGGTGACCGAGTTTTTTTTTTTTTTTAAAATGGTTGGGGTGCTAGGGGGGGGGCCCATGAGGGGGGGGTCCTGTGGGGGTGAAATGTTGCGGGGGGAATTGGAATTACCCCCTCGCCGCGGGCTCACGGGGAGGGTAAAGCCCCTGGGGGAGAAACCCCCCCCGGGGTGTCGGCAGTTTTCAGAATGGACCCCCCCCCTCCGGTCCCCAGCTTCCCTTGTGTTTTCCCCCCCCCCCCCCCCGCTCCCCATTGGTGACTCGCGAAGGACACGGACACTCGGGGTGAGTGAGGAGGGGTCCCCCCGGAGGGGGCTTTGGAGGTCGATCTCGGGTCGATCTCGGGCCAATCTCGGGTCGATCGCGGGTCAATCTCGGCGGCGATGGCGGACAGCAGCGCGCCTGGCGCGCAGGCAGTGCCGTCGGATGGCACGGCTGGTCGGCTGCGTCCACCCGCAGCCGGGGTGCGCGCTCGCCCCCTGGTGCCGCGTCGTCGCCGCTCACGAACGCCATCCTGAAGCGCCCTGCCGACTGGCCAGCCGGCGAGCACGAGCGCGCAGCTTCTCGATCCCGCGGCGCAGCGCCGCGGATGGAGACCCTCGGGTCGGTGGAAAAGGACCCAGGCGCGTCCGCCTCGACCCGCACCGCTGAGGCGCCAGCAGTTGCGGCGCGGCAGACTCGCGCCAATTCGGCGCAGATCGCCTTGGAGCCCACCGCGCTCTCAAATCGCCTCGAGACAATGCTCCTCGGCAACCATCCCGTCCCTGCACCTTCCAACGAGGTGAGCGTCGCCAGCGAGGTGTCCAACGGCATCATTATCGTCGCGAAAGCTGCCGTCGACGCGCTGCTCTTTTCGTCGCCGCAGCGCGCTGCGCTGATGGCTCTCGGGCTGCGGGACCTCAAACCGGCTGCGCTGGCGTATCTCGTGTGGGACCTCCGCGGTGTGCTGGCGGCCGCGCGCCACGACCAGGCGGTCGCGTACGGCAAGCGGCTCCAGACGCACGCGGCCGGCGTCGAGAGGGAGCTACTCAAGTGCAAGCGGCGCAAGGCAGACGGCGCGGAGGAGGCGCTTCTCGCCGTGCCGGACGCGCTGCAGGACGTGTGCCGACGCCGGAGGCGACGAGACGGACAGCGAGCCCGACCCGGCACCGACGCCACTCACTGTCAAGACTTTCTTCGCTGAGATCAAGACTTTCCGTCCCGAATCGGATTGCGACCGCGAGTGGGTGCGCTACACTCGGCCATTGAGCAGTCGGCGGACAGGGACCTCGCGCAGCGCGACGACGAGCTGGGAGCCAAGTTTAGGGAGTTTATGGCAAGCAGCAACCCAATGGACCAGCAGATTGCAGCCACCTTAGGGGCGGCGTTGCTTGGACCTGTTCGACGTGGAGCTCCAGCATTGTTGGCGAATGCAACATGCAGCTTGGAGAGAGGTGCGCGAGATGCTTGCGGGGTGGCATCGATGCGCAGATAGTTTAGAGGCACGCGCGAAGGGGAGCTCGAAGATGCGTTTCGTGAGATCGACTCGCTGCGCGAGGCGCTTGCGGCGTCTCGACGTGCTTGGCCTCACGTCGGAGGCGGGCGCGCGTAGGCTCCAAGGCGCCCGACTCAAAAACTAAATCAGAAAAGGAAAGAAAACAGACAACCCAAACGTGAATTGAGGGATGGGAGGAGGGAGGAGGACAGGGTCCCCACCTGCACGAGCAGGATTTTGGAAGGACGATCAGGGACACAGGGGAACGGGAGCGGGGAGCGCATCGCGACACGGAGGGGGGTTGGGCAGGCAGGTTCACCCACACGACAGGGTCCCAGGATTCCCCTCTCGTATAGGACAAAGTTGCACCCGGCGGCACGTGCTAGCCATCACCAACCCTCGGGTATGTTCGTAAGAACCACGCATACTTGGAGCACTTGGAGTGCACTTGAAACTAAAATAGTATGAGCCCGCTGAGGCGTAGTGCTCTTGCAGAGGCGGTTAGTGGTGCACTAACCCCGAGAAACCCTTCGGGTCACTCCTCATCGCAAACCCTGTCAGCAGTCCTCCTCCGGGAATGTACGTAAGAGCCACATCCATTGAAAATTCTTCTCGACATGTAAAACTTAGAACGACACACGTGTACGGTCGCACACGCGCGGCGTGGCTCGCCGCCCCCTCCACCCCCGCTCCCTCGCCAGCCACGCCGCCTCCCGCCCGCCTCCTCGACCTCCCCACGGACGTTCTCGTCCGCGTCGTCTCTCGCTGCGACCCCGCCGACATCGCTCGCGTCGCGGCTGTCTCACTCCTCTTCCACGCCTCGCTCGCGGCCGAGGGCATCCGCTTGTGGGCGCAAGAGCGCGGCTTCGAGCTGCCGGCGCAGCCAGAGGACGAGGACTGCGCCGTGCGGTGGCTGTGCTATTCGGCGCTGCTGTGCGAGTCCAACCCGCCGGCGAGGGCGGCGGCAGGCATGCAGCACAGCCTCTTCATCGACGGCGAGGGGCGGCTCTCGTCGTGCGGCTCTGCGCCGCAGGACGCTGCAGGGCTGCTCGGCCACGGCGAGGGCGTGACGCGGCTCAACACGCCGACCCGCCTCCCGTCGATGGTGGGCAGAGAGCGCGTTGTGAGTGTCTCGGCGGGAGCCGGGCATAGCCTGGCCCTCACCGCCGACGGCGCTGTCTGGAGCTGGGGCTATAACCGCTTTGGCAGATTGGGCCACGGCGACGAGGAGCCTCAGCTGCTGCCGAAGAAGATTGAGGCCATTGCTCGCCATCACGTCGTCGCTGTGTCGGCGGGAGCTAGCCACAACCTCGCCGTCACCGCCGACGGCGCCGTCTGGAGCTGGGGCTTTGGCGGCCATGGCCATTTGGGCTTCGGCAGCAGCTGGTCCCGCAGGAGGGCGAGGGGTGTGGACGCGCAGGACCAGCTGCTGCCGAAGAAGGTCGAGGCCTTGGCTCATCGCGTCGTCGCTGTGTCGGCAGGCATATACCACAGCCTCGTCCTCACCGCCGACGGCGCCGTCTGGAGCTGGGGCAGTGGAGGGAACGGCCGGCTGGGCCACGGCGGCAGGCAGCAGCGGCTGCTGCCCAAGAAGGTCGAGGCCTTTGGTGGCCAGCGCGTCGTCGCTGTGTCGGCAGGATTCGACCACAGCCTCGCCATTACCGCCGACGGCGCTGTCTGGAGCTGGGGCGGTGGAGGCGGCGGCCAGCTGGGCCACGGCGACGAGCAGGACGAGCACCTGCCGAAAAAGATCGAGGCCTTGGCTGGCCAGCGCGTCATCGCTGCGTCGGCTGGCACGAAGCACAGCCTCGCTCTTACCGCTGACGGCGCCGTGTGGAGCTTTGGCGATGGAGGGTATGGCAAGCTTGGCCACGGCAACGAGCAACGCCAGCTTATGCCGTAGAAGATCGAGGGCCTGCTGCAGGTCGTCGCGGTGTCGGTTCAAGCACACCACACTGTCGCCATCGCCGCCGATGGCGCTGTCTTTGCCTGGGGCAAGGGCGAGCACGGCTGCCTAGGCCACGGAGAGGACCCGTCGAACCAGCTGCGTCCCAAGAAGATCGAGGCGTGAGGAGGGCGAGAGGTCGAGTGGACCGACGTTTTTGGGGGCGCGCCGCCAGGCGCGTCCCCACTTTTGTATCACAGCTGCGAGGGCCAACCAAGGGATTCGGCGCGTCAAGTTAACTTGACCGCTCGTTCGGGCTTTGGGCCGCAGGCCGGCGCGCAGCGCCACGCCGCCAGGCGTCCGCCGGAGGCCCGCCGGAGGCTCTTCCTGCGGCCACATTCTGGCAAGATTCCGCCGCGCTCAGGCGCCCAGAGGATGCGTGCGCTGCGCTCAAACGTCGCGATTTGGCAATAGGCGCTCGAGCCGGCGCACAGCGGACGGGTGCGCCGCGCAGGGGGGGTCGGAGGGGTGCGAGAGGGGGCGTGGGTCAGGCGCGCACCGGCCGGCTCCGGGAGCGGCCGTCACGTCGAGGAGGGGGGCTGTCGGCGGCTCGAGCGGCGAGGCGTGCCACTCTGCTTCGCCGCCGACAGCCCCTCTTCCGAGCCGGCGCGTGGCGACGAGCCGCGGCCAGTGTCGCTGGTTCCTTTGGCGGCGCAGCGTTTATCCCCCCCACCCGCGCCCGCCCGCCCGACCGCCCGCCCGCCCTCAGGCCTTGCCCCTTCGCAGGCGCGGGAGCGCTCGCCGGCGAGCACCTCCTACCTCTTCTCGCCCGGCTGCTCCCTTGCCCCGTCGCCCGCCGCGCCATCGCCCGTTGTCAAGAGTTTGGCGACCTTTGTCCGTCACTTCATCTATAGAAACGAGACGTGCGCTGACCGCCGCTCCCCCTGCTGATTCTCGACTA